TCATGTTCTTCAGCTTCAGTTTGAATTTTCATATGAGCAATTGACAGTGTGTTCCACAGTCTGTCCCTGGCCTTGTTTTTACTGATGATATAGAGATTATCTACCATCTCTTTCCACAGATATAGTCAATTTGATTTCTATACAGGGCCCATATGTGTCAGAGAACTGACTAGATAGAGCTGAACAACAAGAACTACAACTTATTATAAATGTCTGAACAGGCTCTAGTTTGAAGCACTTAGAGAAATAAGACATCAGTTTGAATAGGCCCATTATCAGTGCAACATGAAGCAAGAACTAATACAAAATTTATGGTGAAACTTGGAAGGAAGAATGGTGAAATTATTAATACTTTATGAAAAGTTTATGGGGATAATGCCCCCCTAAAAATTAGCTGTTTGCAGATAGATAATTCATTTTTAGAAAAGATGAGATGATATTGAAGATGAAGTCTGAAGTGGCAGGCAATCCACATCAATTAATCTTGTTTGTGCCCTAATTGAAGAGGACCCACTATCAACAGTAGAAACAATTGCCAACACCATACACATTTCAACTGGTTCAGCTGACACAATTCTGACTGAAAAATAGAAGTTGAGCAAACTTTCTGCTCAATGGATGCCAAAACTGTTGAACCGAGATTAACAGAACACAAGAGAAGAGCTTTCTATGCAAATTTTAAATAAAGTAGGATTGAGATCCTGAAGAATTTCTTTGAAGAATTGTAAAAGGAGATGAAACATAACTTTTACCACTTATGATCCTGAAGACAAAGCACAATCAAAGGAATGACTACCAAAAATGGTTACCAAGAAGTGGAAATGGTCCAGTCAAGGTTATAGCGACAGCTTTTTGAGATGCTCAAGGCATTTTGCTTGTTGACTTCCTGGAGAATCAAAGAACAATAACATCTCTTTATTATGAGAGAGTTTTTAGAACGTTAACCAAAGGTTTGGCTCCACCATGACAAGGCTCCTGCTCATTCCTCTCATCAAATAAGGACAATTATGCCAGAATTTTAATGGAAATCATTAAGCATCTACCTCACAGTCCTGATTTGGATCCTTCTGAATTCTTTTTGTTTCCTCATCTTAAAAAATATTTAAATGGCACCCACTTCTCTTCAGTTAATAATACAAAACAAAATCGACATGGTTAAATTCCCAGAACCCTAAGTTCTTTAATGGCTGGTATCACTGCTTATAAAGTATCTTGTTGGATTCAAGCATAGCAACAACTATGAGGATGGTGCAGGAATGGACAGTGTTTCATTTTATTGTACATGACAGCACCTAATGCAATAACAACATTATTAAGTATTTCATGCAATTTTCCATGTCTACTGTTAATATTACTGATGAAGATCAAAGAGCACAGCCTTCAGTATGGATTACATCTCAATGTAAAGAAAACAAAAATCCTCACCACTAGCCTAGTAAGCAGCATTCTTATCAATGGAGAAAAGATTGAAGTTGTCAAGGACTTCATTCTTCTTGCATCAACTATCAACATGGAAGCAGCAGTGAAGAAATCAAACGACGTATTTCATTAGGAAAATCTGCTGCACAAGACCTTTTAAAGTGTTGAAGAGCAAAGATGTCAACTTGAGGACTAAGGTGCGCCTGACCCAAGCAATGGTATTTTCAATAACCTCAGATGCATGTGAAAGCTAGACAGTGAATAAGGAAGACCATAGAAGAATTGATGCTTTTGAGTTATGGTGTTGGAGGAGAATATCGGAAGTGCCATGGACTGCCAAAAGAACCAATAGATCCGTTTTGGAAGAAATGCAGCCAGAGTGCTCCTTGGAGGCCAAGATGGCCAAACTTCATCTCTCATACTTCAGACATTGTCAGGAGGGACCAGTCGCTGGAGAAGGATATCATGTTTGGTAATGTGGAGGGTCAGAGAAAAAGAGAAAGACCCCCAAAGAGATGGATTGGCCAGGTGGCAGCATCAATGGATTCAAGCATGGCAACAGTAGTGAGTTTGGCCCAGGATTGGACAGTGTTTCGTTCTGCTGTGCATAAGGTCCCTATGGATCAGTACCGACTTGATGGCACCTAACAACAACAACTGTTAACATGTTTGTGTGGCCTATGCAAGTAATCTGCCCATTCACATAAGCATGAGGATCAGAATTATGTAATCTCAAGAGAACATAAATGAAGTTTATATTTTTTATTTTTATCTTTTAATTCCATTTTCCATTAACTTTTTTGAAGTATATACACACACACACACTTACATACACATACATGCACAAGGATTTGTCCAAAAGTATTGCTATAAAATCACAGAAATCTTCTTAAACAAAAATATCAAAATGTGAAGCTGGCGTTTCTCAGCATATCCTCCACCCATGTCTATACACTCCTGAAGGTGGTGTTTCCAGTACTGGGGTGACACTGTAGGGTGAGCACAGGACCTCATTGTAGGTTTGAACTGCAAGGTCAGTGGTTAACAACAACAACAGCAACTCTTCTCCAAAGAATTTCCACCACATCAAAATGACAGTTTGGCATCCTCAAGAGACTCAAAGTCTGTTTCTTTGAAATGTTCTTTGAATTGGAGGAACAAAAAAAGAATTCTGAAGGGCCAAGATCAGGGCTATAGGGTAAATGGGGTATAGTTTCCCTATGAAATTCTCATGGAACATTCCTTGCAACCCTCAAAGAATCAGTAGGAGCACTATGATAGGAAAAAAAATTCATCAGCACTGCTTTACTGGCCTTTTTCTCACCAGTGTAGTTTTCCATTTTCTTAAAATTTCTTCCTAATAAGCCCCCATAGTCATCCTGTGTCCTTCAAATAAATCTATCAAGATTATTTCTTGGAAGTCCCCCAAAACATTCTCCATAATTTTCTCAGCTGACCACTCTTCCTAAATTTAACTGTCTCAGCATATAACTTGGGAAGTCACTATCTTAATTGGTTCTTTTTTTTTTTAAGATACCCTAAGGAAACTAATACAAGTGTGTGTTACTGAGAAAACTTGTCAGCAGTCAACCACTGATGACAGAGATGTGCTTAAACATGCTTTGTTTGTATAAACTTGTGATGTATGAACTGGAACCCTAGTGTTGTTATTGTTAAGTGCTGTCAAGTCGATTCCAGCCCGTAGTGACTTGTATAGGGTTCCCAAGGAGCAGCTGGTGAACTTGAACCACCGACTTTGCAGTACAATTTGACCCATTAACTCACAGTGCCACACTAGGAACTCTAGTCGTAACACATTTTTACTTACTCTAATATATAAACAGAATAAGTCGATTCTATTACAATATGGACCCCTGGTGTGCTGCTGTAGGATAACAACTAGACTGTGAAACACAAGGTCAACAATTCAAACCCACCAGCTGCTCCTCGGAAACCCAACACAGGGTAGCTATGAGTCTGAACTGACTCGATGACACTTAGCAACAACAATAGTAACATTATGAGGCATCCTGGTATGACACTGTAGGATAAGCACTAGACTATTAACCACAAGGTCAGTGGTTCAAACCTACCATCTGCTCCTTGAAAACCCTGTAGAGGGTAGCCATGAGTAAAAACCACCTCTACAACACACAACAGCAACATTACAATATGAAAACCAGATGTGTGTCAGGAATAGTGCATTTTACTGATTGTTCCATCATTTAAAAAAAAATTTTTTTTTTAATTGACGACTGTAAATTATAAGAGATTTGTTGGAAACATTTTCTATTTGATGGACCTCCAAGTTAAGAGATAACTTAGCAGCACAATCATTCTTAAAGGAATTCGATTTCTTGGTTTGCTTACACAGAACCTTCTCCCAACTCATGCTTCTTAGTTCCCAAGCTTATTTTTTAGAAAAGACTTCTAATAGCTATGCTGAGTCTGTCTCTAAAAATATCTTTTTATTGAATGCAGGAGGAGATTGGGTTCTTGATGTATTATTTCTTTTGGGACTAATGGTACATTTTCCGACTTCAGAAATTGTTTTTCAGCCCACAGAAGTATCAGATTAAACTAATGTGGTAACTACCTCAGGACAGTAGTATTTTATTCTGTTTTTCTTCCAAGAATGTAACTGTTAAAAATTACTACAGTTATTTATTCTTCACTTCACAATTTATTAACCATAGGGGATCGTATTCCATTCTTCTTCCATTTGAGTAACTTTTGTGTGTGTTTTCATGCAGTAGGGACAAATAGTTTTTCATGTGAGGGCACCAGACATTGGTCCTATTTTAATTAGGAAACCTTTGAGATTTGAATGAAGGCAACGTATTGTCCTTTCAGATAGCCAGGCACTGTTTGCAAGATCTGTGTAACCATAGGAGTTACAAACCCCCTTCAGATAATAGGTCTGGTATACTTTAACAGCAACACTTTCAGAATTTACAGCTTTCACTTTAGAGTGCTCAGTGTTGATCTTATTGCTGATCTCAAATGGTTTTGTTTTACACAGAAACAAATGGATCTCAATGCTGCTATTCAAGCCTTGATGGAATCAAATGCTGCCCTACAGATGGAGGTAATACATCTGGCTTTATTTACATTGGCACTCTACATACACAAATTAAACAGGACTTTTGTGTGGAGACCAAAATGTGGTTTTATCTCAAAGACTGTACTTAAACCAGATTGAAAATATGAAACCATTTTCCAGGTCAGAGTAGGCTATTTTAATATAATGAAATAGAAATATATGCATAGGATGTTTTCTAAGGAAAATATTTAAGACAAAAATGTTATGTTGCTGAAGAATTTATTTTCAAGGAATTTGGTACTATAGAAGAAAAATAGTTAAATAAAGTTAACCGTCTTCCTTAAAATGGGCTCAATCGATTACCGCTACTCATTATTCTTTTTCAAAGTCCGATTGTTCACTGCATAACTTCATCAAAACATAATTCAGTAGGCATACTAGTTCATAAGTTTTATGTCAGTTTGAAAACTATACTTTTGAGTGTGAATGTAATCATTTATTTATGTTTAAGGTTAATAAGCATATGTATCTACGTATATATAAAGTATTTTTTACATCCTACTTCCAACTCACTGCACTTAACATGAGCGTGTTTTGTTTTTGTTTGTTTGCCTACGTATTTGTAATACTACTGTATACTTTTTTGCTAATATGATTCTTATGATGACTTGGCAGAGCTACCAGAATACTGAAGTGACTGTACTTGACCACAATGCAGAGATATTCAAAACCCTGAACTACCTGAGCAATTTACTGCATAGCATCAAGAATCCTCTTGGCACACGAGATAACCCAGCACAAACCTGCAAAGATTTGCTTAACTGTGAACACAAAGTATCAAATGGTAAATTCGTGGTTTCCTCAAATCATGGTATCTAATTTCATTTCATCAGTTTACTGTGTTTGAGATTCACAGTGCATTCATTCCAAATCTTAATCACTTTGATAAAAACCACAGCAGATTCCACTTAAATGTCATCAAGAACCAAATAATCCTTTTAAGGAAAACACATTTCTGATTTCAAAGTGTCCTTGTAACAGAGTTCACATGACAAAGGTCTACTGCACACTCTTAATGAACTTGGACTTTCCCCACCACACCCCTACTTCATATTATTTGCTTACAGTTTACGCTTGGAATGTAGCACATTCATGTCAAAAATTGAAACAGGACTGACCTTTTGGTTGACAGTCAGCAGGAGTGCCTGTGAGAATTTGTTAATCCAGGACTACCAAAATTGGCAACATGAGGAAACTATCATAGAGCCCCCTCCACCACACACCTTGTACATTGTTTGTTTGTTTGTTTGTTTGTTTGTAACAGAATGTATTTTATATGCTACATTGTAGAATCAGTGATCATGAAAATGGAATGGTTTCTCTTTCTTGGAAGTTTCTCATGCCCTTCACAGATACAAGATTCATTCATCAGAAGTGCAAAAAGTGAATTTAGAGTAGAATCCTCAAGGAAAGGCTTCTAACTGAACAGAACAGTTATCAGTTAGAGATGGGAAACCCTGTGTTGTATAATATGTCATTTAATTTTAGTTTTTAAATTTCTATTTGGTCTATGGTCAGCTGTACCATGAATATTTGTAGCTACGTTTTTTGCTAAAAATTCTCATTTCCACATCATGGCATATATGCTGATTTGCAAAAACTGTGTTACAGCATTTATATAACTTACTTATATCTACCTGGTGGAATAGTGGGCTAAGCATTGGGCTGCTAATCTTAAGGCTAGCAATTCAAACCCAACAGCCAGTCCCTGGAGAAAAGATGAGGTTCTCTACTCCGAAAGATTGGCAGTCTTAGAAACCCTACGGAGCAGTTCTACTCTGTCCTATGGGGTCACTGCGAGTCAGAATCAACTCAGTGGCAATGGGTTTGGTATTATGGAGACAGGATAGCTATACCACCCTACCACAAGTTGGCATCAAGTCAGTTCTGTCTCATGTGACCCCTTGTGTGTCATAGTAGAACTACTCTGTGCTCCTAGGCCCACAAGGAACTGCTCTGTGTGCCTAGAACTTGCTCTGTCCTCCTAGGCACACAAGGAAGGGAAAGATTGGCAGGCTTATGCTAGCAATAGGGCCTTCAGTTTTTTTCCACCCCTTCCAATTCCTACTTGGAAATCTGAAGATGAAAGCACAACAATGATAAATATTTACTTCTATATTTTGCTTTCTAAAAACAGTGTTTTTGTTATTTTTATTATCAGTATTGCACTTGTATTATTCCTTGGAGAGATTGAAGACATTGCTGTTCTTAAACAAAATATTAACTTCAAACTCTTTAATGGTATGTTGTTGTTGTTAAGTGCCATCGAGTCAGTTCTGACCCATAGCAACCCTGTATAGGGTTTCCGAGGAACAGCTAGAGAGCTTGAACTGCTGACCTTGCCATTCAAAGTAACCTTTCAGTCCAGCACATTAACCCACAGCACCACAACAGGACTCCCTGTAATGATATATACAGAAATATACACATAAATTACCTTAACTTCAGCTCTTCTAAAAACTGTGTAACTATAGATAATTCATTTTAAGTTGCTGACTTACTTTAAATAAGTTCAAATTCATAACTATGTATTTTCTACTATACCTTCCAGTAATAAATATTTCTATCATCTTTGACTAAAATTAAGAAATACCCTTAAATTGGTATGTATGTGACAAGTATAATATTTTCAATATCAATTTTATGTCGTACTGACAGTTTTCATTCATTCAATTAATCAAAATGTTTTATCATATAAGACTGTAATAAAGTATGTTTAAAGCATTTTGATCATTTATAAAGATGATTCAAATATATTTAGCATGTCATTTCATTTAAATAACTGTATTTTACTACAAATTTACAGGAAAATACTGGATTGACCCAAATCTTGGATGTTCTTCTGATGCCATTGAGGTTTTTTGCAATTTCAGTGCTGGTGGTCAGACATGTTTATCTCCTGTTTCTGTGACAAAGGTGTGTGTGAATTGAATACCATTATTTGTTCCATTTTTCTTTGAACATTTTTAAGCCCCCCATGTATCAGTACTTCCACTGTACCAGTGGACAATACATTTTTTAATGCTTTCACCTCAAGTAATTGTGGATTTTACAAACCAAAGTTTCATAGTTACCGAGTACTGCCATAACAGAAATATAACGAGTGACTTGCATTAAAGAACAGAGATTTACTTTCTCATCATTCTGGAGGCCAAAAGTTCAAATTAGGGTCTTGGCTGCATCGATTACTTCCGTGAGCATCTTAATTTCTGGTGACTTCTGGTGAACCTTGGTGTTCCTTGGTCTATGCCTCACCCCTTGACGTCTTTGTCTATTCTGGTGTTTTTTACCTCAGAAGTGATTAGGTTTACAGTGGTCTGACCTTACTAACATAGCAAAAGAAAACCCAATTTCCAAACAGGGTCACATTCACAGGTACGAGGCTAAGATGTCAATGCACATTTGGGGGGTAACACAATTTAATCCACAATTTAACCAACAGAAAGCAAGATAAGAAAGTAATTTTTTTTTTTTTTTTTGTATTTTTAAAGCATATCTAATTCCAGTAAACCTTGACATCTTGATTGTAAATTTTATGGTTGTCCTAGCTTGGTTTTTGTCTACTGATTATGTTTTTTTTTAATTCCTTTTAAAAAGATGCAACATTTTTTTTATACCTATACATGCATTACAAAATCCCTGTACAAGGTCATTGTTTGAATTGGTAAGCAGTTACATAAAGTTTTACTGACGATGAAACCATCATCATTAAAAGAAGACAATACCACAAAATTTGCTCTTTTCAGTAATTGAGCACAAGCTAATCTTCCTTAAATATACACTGTATAGTATTTAAAAGGAGCTCTGATAGCGTAGTGGTTATGAATCAGGCTGCGAACCACAAGGTCAGCAGTTTGAAACTACCAGCTGTTCCATGGGAGAAAGATGAGGCTTTCTACTCCCGTAAAGATTTACAACCTCAGAAACCCTGTACAGGGTTGCTATGAGTCAGAACCGACTCCACGGCACATAACAACAACAGTATTTAAAAAACTTTCAAGTATTAATCCATGAGCCAAAAGTTCAGAATGAATGCAAGTTAGTTTGGTATAAAAAGTATTTATGAAACCTAGAACCTAGTTCTACCTATAACATATGTTAAAGAAACCAAAACTGCATTTCTTTCACTTTGTAATTAAAGTACCTTGTTGTTATTAAGTGCTGTCAAATCAGTTTCAATTCATCACGACCCTGTATAGGGTTTCCAGGGAGCAGCTGGTGAGTTTGAACCGTCGACCTTGCGGTTCAAACTGACCTTGTGGTCCTGTGCTTATCCTACAGTGCCACACCAGGACTCCATTCCCCATTATTATCCCCAAATGGAGAGGAAAGGACTCCTCAGAAGAGTACTATGATGGTCCTATTTATAAAATAGTCACAATATCATTCTCAGCCCCTGGAAGTTTGCCCAGAGTTTTTATTTAGATTATCATAGAATGGATAGGCCAAGCATACAAAGGTGACTAAAACAGTGCTTATACTGTATACTTCAGTTCTTTCCAAGTCTAAATCAGTTCTCCCATTTTTCCTGTCCATAAACTCTGTCAGAGGGCTCTCAGAGGTAGTAGAAAGAAAGCAGTTTTGGAGGCAGGAACCTGGGTTCTAGATTCTATTTTTCTACTGGTGTGGTACTGTAGAATAAGCACTAGATTCCTAACTACAAGGTCAGTGGTTCAAACCCACCAGCCACTCCTTGGAAACCCAAACACAGAGTCACTATAGTCAAAACCAACTCCTAGACAGCATTTAACAACCACTAACAGAGTGAACCATTGTACTTGGCATCTCTAATCTGCATAACAATCTGCCAAGTCATTCTTAGTCTCCAGTTTTCCAACAAAGAAACTAAGGCTCAGAAAGTTTAAGTATTCTTCAGGTGTCTGATCCTCATCTGTGAAATGAAGGGATTAAATTACTTCAGTTCTAATGTTCCTTGTGATTATCCTTCCCAGCTTTTATCCTTTTCCTGAAGCTTTGTATTTTGGCAGTAGATTTTGTTGCTGTTTTACTCCCCCCCGCCCCTGTTTTTGGTTACCTTATAACTGATATTCTTCTTCTAATTTCACATTTAGGGATTCATATGAATTCCTAGGGAAACCCTGTACAGGGTCACTATGGGTCAGAACCAACTCGATGGTACTTAACAACAACAACAACATGAATTCCTAAGTGAATAGAAATGGTTTCCACTGAGGAATTTATATGAATCCCCCTGCTTGAATAATAAATCTAAAGTTACAGGAAAAAGCTCCTTCCTCTCCTACCCTAGAAAGCATACAATCAGATCTCCTAGCTCCAATGTTGCCTTTATATTGTTACTATGTTGGTTAATACTTGTTCATGCACTAACTAGTTCATTGAATGAACATTTATTGATGAATCGATATATACAAAGAATAAGACTTTGTGCTTGTCCTTAGAGCCTCTCATAATTAAAATTGCTTAACAAGTTTTTACTACAACTTGTAACTTGTCTTTGAAAACACACACACACACACAAATATTCAAATAAATGCATAGAAAGAATTTCAGATTTTATGGAAAAATATATTGATGTATTCATCAGCAGTAAATTATCACTGCATTTTAGGTAATATTATGAAACTCATTGTGGTTTTTTGATCATATGTAGTAATTGAGTGGTATGCTAGAACTCGTCCATACTGGTTCAGGAGAACCAATTGTTAATATCTATTCTCACCTCCATGTCCAGTGAAATCACGTAGATTTCCTAAAACCAGGCACCATGCAACTGTTTACACCAAGGAATACAGCAACTGTAATAAATCGGGATGGTTTGTTTTTCCCTCCACAGAGGCAGTGGTTAAACTTTCACCAGCACACTACTAAGTGGCACTTAAATTTCCAGAAAAGTAACTCTCTTTATTGGAGTCCTTGGGTGGCATTGTAGGATAATTAGTGGACTGTTAACTACTAGGTTGGCAGCTCAAACCTACCAGTTGCTCCCTTGAAGCCCTATACAGGGTCACTATAAGTCTAAATTGACTCAACAGCCCTTCACAGTAACAACAACCTTCCCATGGCTGCCTTTCTAGGTCTTGTCTCAAATTTCCCTAAACTATAACCACTGCCTTCAAGTTACTTCTAACCCATACTTACCCATAGGATAAAGTAGGACCACTCTGTAAGGTTTCCAGGGCTATAAATATTAACAGATATAGACTGCTTCATCTGTTTTTCAAGGAACTACTCATTCTTTGGAACTGCTGACCTTTCAGTTAGCAGCCCAACACTTAACCCACTATATCACTGCTATTTGTTGTTGTTAAATGCTGTCAAGTCGGTTCTGACTCATAGGACCCTGTATGCGGTTTCCAAGGAGCAGCTGGTAGGTCTGAACTGCTGACCCTATGGTTCACAGTCCAGTGCCAATCATTGCTGAATGTTTTTCAATGCCACATCTTATATCTTTCATCTTGTTTCTATATTAGTTGGAATTTGGAGTTGGTAAAGTCCAGATGAACTTCCTTCATTTGCTGAGCTCAGAAGCCACCCATATCATCACCATCCACTGTCTAAATGCCCCAGTGTGGACAACTGGACAGACAAGTGGCTCAGGACTGCCTATTGGTTTCAAGGGATGGAATGGAGACATTTTTGAAGAAAACACTCTACTTGAACCTAAAGTGCTTTCAGATGACTGCAACGTAAGAGAATGGAATTGTTCAACATGACTAACATACAATTAATAAGATTATACAATAGAATAATGAGAGTGAGACTTTAATGGCAAACTGCAGATACAAGTTATATTGTTGTGTTTAAGAATCATCAAATCACTTCCAACTCATAGTAATGCTATGCACAATTGTTATATTTGAGCCCATCGTTACTGTCACTGTGTCAATCCATCTCATTGGGAGACTTCTTCTTTTTCATTGACCCTCCACTTTACTAAACATGATATCCTCCTGCAGGGACTGGTCCCTCATGAAAATATGTCCAGAGTTTGAGAGACAAGATCTCTCCATCCTCACATCTAAGGAAGACTCTGGTTATATTTCTTCCAAGACACATTTCCAAAAAGCGGCTGGTGGGTTTGAAGCACCAACCTTGTGGTTAGCAGTCCAGTGCCACACTAGGATATTGTTATTGTTGTTAGGTGTCATGAGTTGAGTCCAACTCATAGAGAACTTATGCACAACAGAACGAAACACTGACTGGTCATGCGCTAGCTTCATAACAGTTGTTACACTTGAGCCCATCGCTGCTGCCACTGAGCCAATACATCTCATTGGGGTTTTCTTCTTTTATGCTGACTCTCCATTTTACCAAGCATAATGTCTTTCTACAGGGAATATACCTCTTAATAATGTGTCCAACGAAAGAGAGACAAAGTCTCACCATCCTGGCTGTTCCCTCTTGATAATGTGTCCAAAGAGAAACAAAGTTTCACCATCCTGGCTTCTAAGGAACATTCTAGTTGTACTTCTTGCAACACAGATTTGTTTGTTCTTCTAGCAGTCCACGGATGGTACTTTTAATATTATCCTCCAACACCGTAACTCAAAATGCATTGATTGTTCTATGGTCTTCCATACTCACAGCCTAAATTTCAAATATATATGAAGCTATTGAAAATACCATGGCTTGATTCAGGCTTACCTTTGACATCTTTATTCTTCAACACTTTAAAAAGGTCTTATGCAGCACATTTGCCTAATGAAATTCATCATTTGATTTCTTGAGTACTGCTTCTATGAGTGTTAATAGTAGGATTGGTCCTGTAGTGAGGATTTTTGTTTTCTTTACGTTTAGGTGCAATCCATACCAAAAGCTTTGATTTTCATCATAAGTAATTTAAGACTTCCTCACTTTCAGCAAACAAGGTTATATAATTTTATATTGCAAGTTGTTAATAAATCTTCCTTCAATCCTGATGTCACATTCTTCTTCATATAATCCATCTTCTCAGGTTATTTGTTTAGCATATAGATTGAATAAGTATGATAAAAAGGATACAAATCTGACACCTTTCCTAACTTTAAATCATTCTGTTCAAATGACTGCTTCTTTGTCTATGTATAGGTTCCTCATGAGCATTATTAAGTTTTTTTGAATACCCATTCTTTTCAGTATTATCCATAATTTGTCATGATCCACACAGTCAAAAGCTTGTACGTAGTCAATCACACGCAAGTAAACATCTTTGTGGCATACTCTGCTTTCAGCCAAGAGCCATCTGATATCAGCAGTAATATCCCTGTTCTACATCCTCCTCTGAATCTGGCTCGAACTGCTGGCCGTTCCCCATCAATGTATTGTTGCAGTCATTTTTGAAGTATCTTTAGCAAAATTTTACTTGAATATTATATTAATGATATTGACTATTGCCGGAGTCTGACCTCGACATAGTTGTGTTGTTCATGAGTGTTTGGTTCACGAGGAGGAGAGATCCAGCGGCGATAGGGATAGCGAAAGAATACA